TAATAATAAAATTATAAGATAACAGTTGTATCCATCAACGTTTTTTTTTAAAGAATAAACATTACCTAATCTAAAATAAATTTTTTAAAAGGTAGTAGTTTAATATTAAATTAAATTGATTYCTCGTTTTTCTATCAGTTTAAATGTTATATTTATTGTTATATATTCATTTAATCAAAAAAGGAATAAAATATTGTTATAACTAATGTGCAATGTTGGTGAAAGAGGGTAGTTTCCAGGGGCCCTACTCACTTAGATTTTGCATCCCTGTTCAAAAATGAAACTTTATTTGGTAYTCGATTGAATCATTATTATAGGTACCGTATAAATCTGAATATTCAAAAACAACAAATTGATGTATCCAACACAGACTTAAAAAATGTTTGATGCTGTTATTTTGTTTTAGTACCTATCAAAGTTTTACCATAAAATATTGGTTACGAAATTTTAAAATTTCGTATGGTACTAATGAAACTCGGTTGTAGCTAATTTCTACAATATTATCATCGCTACCTTCATCGAGAATATGTAACTTCAGCGTTTGTGCATTATAACATAATATAGTATATATTTATATAGATTATCGTCCTTGCGATGTGACGAGCATAATAATATTATTACCCTTCAAGTATTAATTTCGAGAGGAAGAATTGCAATTTATTATTTGTGTGCCAAAATTATTATGAACAATTTGTTAGATCGAAAATCATTTATTTGTCTATTATTTGTACTAATCTATTATATACACAAACACAATCGGAATGACAATAGACCATGAACGCGTATCAAGGACGTGTAGCCGTAGGTACAACCTAATCGCTTTGAAAAAATAGGTAGGTAGCTATGGGTAATTATCTTTGATGCGTGTCCACCTTTCAATATATCTGCTACGAATAAATCAAATTTATTTCTTTACACTCGATTCACAAAATATACAGTGAATTCGCATTGGAAAGCAAAACAACACACTCTCACAGGTTGTTTTTTAATTTTTTTTTCGACTGTAAAACATACAAATAACAGATTTTAAAACTATATAATATATTATACATAATATATATTAGATATTTTATGATATCAAATAAATAATAATGAGTTCTGTTACTTAACTATGAATGTCGAAGGCTTGTAGCTAAATGGCTAAAGTATTATGTGGTTCTTTTTACGCAAAACCGCTTTCTATAATGATTTAATCTCACAATTACATAAGAACCAATAATGATGGGACCACTTGTAAATCAATTTGATTTGATATTTAAATATATATTATATATTATTTTAAGTTTTAAATAAACTCAAAACTGTATTAAAATTGCTTACGTATAGACTCACCAAAAACTGGTGTGCGTGGTACCATAGTATAAATCACGTAATAATATATTATTTTAGTGGAACTCACGTCATATAAAAATTAAATACATATAAAAAAAAAAATGTATCTACCACAATTATTGTTTTTTGGCGTTGTATTATATATCTACAATTTTACACTCCGCAATCTGTAGATTGTAGAAGTCATCTGGGCATTATTACATTAAAGAACTTTTTTTCATATCTTCAAAAAACTGGTCAAAAAGGTTCTTGAATGTATTGAGTGAACGTTTTTATGYTATATTTTGCTTTAACATGTCTCCGCGTAGACTCTATAGATTGGGTATTGCCCCCTGTTTCTGGATCAATTAAGTGGAGCTGCTGGTTTACAGTTTTATGCACTGTAAATTGCTGTAAGCCCTCCATTCGTCCTAGTAAATTGTTGATCAAACTTCTACTTCACGTTTAATAATTGGAAGTAACGTAGCTCTATCTCTCTTTTCAACTATAAAAAATCTACGGTCAGTTACACCATCATCTAATTTACGGTACAGTCCGAACATCCATGGACCCTGTACTCGTGACTCGTGATAATCCAAACGACCCCTTTCCCCAATCTCGTTCGTATTATCGATACYCTACTTTACAGGTAGATAGCATACAACGCGAATTATATTTTAGTAAATTGGTAATGGTTTTTATTATTTTTATTATTATAGTTCATCACAGCAAATTTATAGAAAAGTACCAAAATAATATTAAAACACATTTACCGGCAATCTTGTTCTTTCTACGTCGTTAAAAATTGTAATATTATTATAATATTATAGTAGGCATTATTTACCAATTGTTAAAAAATAATCTTTTATAATGAAAAAATATGTTTTCAGCAACGACAACGAAGGCAAAGAAATGTTGAAAAATCTGACGAGAATCAATAAGCCACTGAGGATCACCTTAGACCAAATGATGAAACTGATTGCCCAATGCGATCTGTTGGACCCACACCAAGTGAATCCCGAAGAAGTGAGGCTGCACTCGCGTGGTGTCAACGGCGCCGATCAAAATATAAACTCGAAMGGCGTCCAATCGACTACTTCCAGTTCACTGTACTCTGGAATACTACCAGGTGCGTTTTTATGTTTCAACAAATAATAGAAATTATTAGCCAGCTATAACCATCAGATAGCGCTAAGTATACTAACAAACCGTATATAAATTCTAGTTMAATTAATGTCATTAAATAAATGATAAACATATTCTTTTATTGCGAACGATCAGTTATTTCAATCGAAATGWACTTATATTTTGTCAGTGATACCGCTGGTGGACCAATATAATCAGACGATTAAGTTTTTAAATTTCATTTTCAACTCTTATACATCTAGTTGATGTGTGTGAAATTAAAGCTGTGATCCGATTGATATTTATAGGCACTATAGACACATTGAAGAATTCAAATCACTCTTACAGAAATCTTAAAATGTGGCCATTGCATTATTGGTCCATATCGGTAGGATATTGACAAAAAGTTACTTAGATAAATGCAAACACGTGTAGACATTGATTACTACTCACGCGCTTCAAGTCACAGTGATGACTTGTACGGCAAGAACGTTCTGTTTTTTCTTTTGTACACAATTGATCCATATACATTTTACTAATAGATGATACGTAATTAGTGTATGAAAAGTGAAATAACATAAAGGGCGCTTTTTGTTTACAGGTTAACTAGATATATGTATGGTAGTTCGGGGTAGTAGTCTACTACTAGTAAAGTAAGATAGGTAGATACATAATATACTACATTTATATGATGACGTTAAAACGCTTGCACTAWGTAATTTAAAAATGTAAAACCAATTTAATTTAAAACCGTCCTAATTCCATCATAATATAATTAGATTTTAATGTAATTATATAAACGTAGTGATAAATTATTTTATTTTGATAACGAATTGCCTATACAGTCAGTTTGGAAACCTTCAAATATATCGAATAATGTACAAAAATAGTAATTACTCATGATATAATAATATTATGCCACCTATGGTTTATTGTAAGTTAATTTGATGATTCGTTTTCRTTATTTGAAATATCTATGGGGTGCAATCTATAATACGAGTTTATTGACACGAAATGCATCGGTATTTTGATGATGGTGTTTGTTGTTAGTCCGGTTGCGCTTGTAAATCAATTTAACACCACTTCAGCTTATCGATTTATGCGTTGATCTTTTACTATCGTATTTTGT